CCACTGCCTCCCCTATTGTCTTACCCTCACTGTCTGCCCCATTACTTCCCGCCTCATCACCCCTCCCCCCATCACCTGCAGTAGTGGGCAGGGGAATGAATTTAAGATTATCCTGCAATAATTAGAGTCCATACATGGAAAATTATCATAACTTTATAAAATTTCTGTGTATAGAATCTAATTAATGGGGGGGGGCATCTTACATTTAAGGTCATCTTGTATTTGAGTAAATACAGTATTTATTATTTGTGTTTAAGCCCTTGTGTACCCTGTGAACACTTAGAAAGTCTTGGCTTTTGCTCCAGGGAGGTTATAATGCAATGAGTGCTACAGGATTCAATGTGACATACTAAGGGAGGGAGGGAAGGAAGTAGGATAAGAGTAAAAGAATAGGATTTATTTCTGTATGTACTGTGTATTTCTGCACATCTGCAAGTATGTACATATTATTCATCAATGTTTGTTCTTTTTTAATACTTTTCTCTTTCAGGCTAGTTGATTTTTTAATTAACTCTTTTTTTGCTGTTCACTGTTTACAGTCTAATCAACTCTCTATTCCTTATTGTTTTTTTTTCCCCTATTTCCCTTTACACATGCTAACAGACATTAGCTATGAGGCTTACATGAATCTGCTGAGCTTGCTCCTTGTCCTCAGGAGTGGTTAGGGAAGCGGTGTGGCAGCCATTAACAGCCTTTGTAATAAACCCCCGGCCCTGAGCATAGCGTTCATCCTGTCGACCAACAAGGGCATGCATTATTGAAATAAATCAATATAAAGAGCTGTGGTTCAAGACCTTCTAAAACAAAATAAATAGTGGTTATTTTTTTGGTTTCAGCACTGCATGTGCTGTGTTTGTCCAGCTGTTTTGGTTGAAACTTGCCAAAAAGAATTCAGCCTGAGGCAAATGTTACAGCATGGAAAACTTCACCCCATATGGTTAAAGTTTGACATAGTTATAGGCAATTGGAAACAGGGTAGGACATAATTAATAATAGGTGCACACACATTTTTGCCTTTAATAAGCACATTCTTTCACTATTGGGACTGTGGCCATATGTACAGTAGTCACATACATTTAGCCATTGAAGCATAGCATATCACTAATCTCTGCTTGTGCTGTTTTAAAAATGCATTGTATTGCAGCTTCTATAAAGTCTTACTTATAAGAAGTAAGGTACTTACAAATTCATTGAACATTTCTGATGAGAGGAAGTGGATGTAGTGTGAAAGTTTAACTGCACGGTCAAAAAGTTCCCCAAGGGATACCTGACAGTTGACAGAGCCACTGGGGCAGATGGGCAAAGAAGTCACACTTTTCTTTGTCAGGTACATATTCGATATCAGCAGAAACACCAGCAGCACACCTATCCATGTTAAAAACCAAGAAAATGAAAAATCAAAACCAAAACATGGAGATACATATGGTTAGAATGTGCTGTTATAGCAGATACTGTTCACATATTTCAAGACACCACTGTTACAAGATACTGTATTCTGCACAGTCTCTTACCATGGTGCTTGACTTTATTACACAGTTATAAATGGAAAAAGATGAACCTTCTGCACTGTGCAAATATAGATACATAATTATATTTGCACAGATATATAGTTTGGAAAGTGGGTTGCTCCCTTTTCTTCTCCCCCTTTTTTATTTTTGCCTCCTCCCATGAGTGCTTTTCTTCTTTGCAAACATTTGGACTTTAAATTAATTTTGAGAGAGGGTGGTTAGGTCACTCTTCTAAGATTTTGATTTTCCTGGGAGTTCCCTCGGAAGATTTCCAGCAGCTGTGCAGCTTAACTGTTTAGAGTTTAACCCTAAATTGCCTTCCACTTAGAAAAGACATACTGTACCTCTTCCAAACTTTCAGTGCCTATGTAGGGGACTCCTAAATGTCTTACAGACAAAACCAGAACAGTTAACTTTTAACATTAAGTTAAGAGAATCAGGATTTTTCCTCTCCAAATAAAATATGCAGGGAAATATGGTGAAACATCAAAAAAACTAATGCTTGTTAAATTAAAATATTAGTTCAAATACTACTCTCCCAGGTACTTTGAGGTAAAGTGCATTAGAAAATTGACCTGATAAATACGGTAATTTACCAGATACTTTTGTTGTACATGTATCAAACTCATATTTACTTCATAAATCCACAGAGCCATCTTAATGTTATTCATTAAGGGAATAATATTTACTGCTCCAGGTTATTTTTTGCCTCTTCACTCAAGAAAAGTCCACTTACTAACACTAGTATTTTAATCAGCCTGGGCCAGGTTAGTTGGTGTTTTAAGTCATGACTGGATGAATAAAGAAAACAGACCTCATGGCTTGGGACAGTAGTTGGCAACCTTTTTCGGCTGTGGGTCACAGGTGTGGGAAGGGGAGGAAGTGGCCACTAGGATTCAGGTGCTGCCAACACTTTTATCTAAAGTGGCATGGGAAAAGTGCTCACTCCTTTTATTTTTCCCACAGTGACATGGGGAAAGCATCCACTGCTGCTACTTCTCCCCATGCTGGCAACACCACCACAGCCCCACCATTGCTGAATGCTACCGAGGCCATACACCGGCATGCCGGATCAAATGGCTCCATGGGCTGGATCCAACCTATAAGCCATAGATTGCCAACACCCAGCTTAGGAGACTAGGTATGGGTTATAGGGAAATTCACCTTTAAATCATTAGCTGGACTGTTTTGGTAATGACTGCAAGTCTTTGTCTTCTGACAACTAGTATTCAGTCTCTGTGGACCAGGTAGCTAGTCTGTGCATTTATTATATCCCTTCAACCAATTATAGTCAATACAAATCAGCTCTCTTTGTAGTCTAAACCAGTGGTCTCCAAACTTTTTTGATCGCGCACCCCTATCAGTAAAAAATTTTTGAGGATGCACCCCCAATATATGTATATTTATATAAATATACATATAAAAAGAAGTTCTAATATTTTCTTCCTGCACCCCAATGGATCATCTTGCGCACCCCCTGGGATGCGTGCACCCCACTTTGGAGACCACTGGTCTAACCTAACAAGGTCTGAGTAAGTATAAGGAACCAAACTGCTGCCTTATCCCTAGATACAGACTCTGTATCTTGGCATGGAGGAAACTAGCACTGATACTGTTTCTGCTGCATTTGATCCATGCCTAAATAGAGGATTTCCATCTCTGGATCATTCAGTTCATTCTAAATATGAAGAAGCACAAAAGTATCAATAAGCTAATGGCAGGAGACTTACCTTTCGACGAAGCCCCTTTGTTGTTCATGGTAGTGATCATGTGTGGCATTTTGCTTAACTAGAGAGAATCCTGAAGTTCTTAGTTTCATCTTCTCTAGGTGCCTGCTTTATATATGCTCCAGGACCCATGCTGCATACATTCAACAGGTTTGGTCCTGCCCAATTGCATTTGCACAGATAATTACAAACATCAAATTGTCCTCTTTTCCCCATTCATATTCACCAAGACTGTATGTGGCCGTTAACGGAAATGTGATTAACAAGTTTGCTTGGGAGGTTCTGTATATGGTCAATTGACGGTCAGGCTGACAGAAGAGTCAACTCCTGCTCTTAGGTACAAAGTCCATTATTTCCCATAGGAATCTAGTATAGGGCTAGAGTACTCGAATCAGCAGGTATCTACACTGTCTTGTGGATATTCTCTTCTCCACAGCTGAAGGCCACTTGCATTCTCATTGTTGGTTTTTCCTATCATCCACAGTTTTGTTTCAATTATAGATAGCTGTGAATAGAAAACAGTAGCCTGCAAAGTTACATTAGCTTTTAAAAGAGATGATCAAAATCACTGAAGTTTGACAAGAGAAATGGAAATGGAGGCTTCTCTAAGAAGGTTCATCATCTGTGAAAGTGATATGTTGTGGGCTCAGCATTGTGGAAATACAGTTCTATCTAGGAAAGATAAAAGAATGGAGACACTTTAAATCCAAAGTCTTTCATCAATGAACACACATTGCAATTTTGGGCCTGATTCTGAGTGGTGCTGAGATGGAAGGTTGCAATGATCTTATTTAGATATATTTCAGTAAAGAAACTGGGGCAGATAGGCAAAGAATTTTAAAGCCTACTGGGAAGAAGTTGCCATAATGTTTGCTGCTTACTAGTATCTATAAAATAAAAAAGTGGTAAAAATGAGGATTTTATTGTACATGAAAACTAATGTAAAAAATGAGCATGTCCACTGTATAAGATGGATGCTGTTTTAATTAAAGGGATGTACAGTATGTTTCCAGGTCTGCTGAGTATGTGATAATTGACAAGCTACTCTCAGCAGGTCAGATGAAGTAGACCCTATGTTATTTGGTGAGACCCATCTGTATGAATATATTAGCAATTGCTTAATCTCTCATCTGTTCCTCAGATCCATGTGCCCATGACAAGACTTTCCAAATTAAATGAAAGTAATGAATAAAGAATACTTTTTAATGAATTTTCTTACCTTCAAACAATCTGTTCTGTACCCATGAAATAGGCATGTGTGGTGCCTTTGAATCCTTCATTATTTTGCAACAGTGGATGTAAAGCCTAAAACTATTAAACACAAGGGAGAGGAGAGTTATGGAGGGCAAACCATAGGGGACCTTCAGTGGGAAACAGTAGCTAGCTAGAGAGGCTTTAACAATAGGCCAAAATAATTATCTGTTGATGCTTAGGGCTTGGCTGATTGCCATTGCCTGACATAGTGTCTGTGCATGACTACACTTACAGTGGACCTAGACCAAAATTGGACCTGGCTTGAAGTTTGCCAGACATGTTGAAAAGTGGTGGATCTGACCAAATAATCTTAGAATAGGTGTGAAAATTGGTGTAACGAGAGGTTAAGAGGCTTACCCAGGGTCACACAGAAAGTCTGGAATATAGCTGGGAAAGAACCAAGATCTCTAAATGCTTATACTTGTAGTAAAATATGTATTTTTATAGAAGAGTACTGTTCTTGTCTGATCCTATCATAAAGCCAAAAGAAGAAGGGGGGAGAGAGAGAGAAGGAAAGAGGGGAAACAAAGAGCCAAATGAGTAATTTTATTTAAAATGACAGAAAACTGTTACTGTTAAAAGCTCTGAGAATAAACAATTGTGTGTAGCTATATGATACATTCATTGCAATAAAAAGGAAAAAAACCAAAACAAAAAAGGATATATTATTTGGCAATCAGGACTTCTGTTCACAATACAGTAATTCCAGTTTTGGCTTACTATCGCAGGATCTCACATATTCATTGGTTCTAAAAAGTAGGATTTTTATTTATTACAGCAATGGAAACATTCCTGTGGTCATCTACTGGGGGTTATAGGTTTCATAGACATTAGGGGCTGGAAGGGACTTCATGAGATCATCAGGTTCAGCACCCCCACCATATTTGGGAAGTCAGCTGGGATCAGGTGACTCCAGCAAGGAA